TCCTCATCCTCATCCTCATCCTCATCATCATCATCATCATCATCATCATCATCATCATCATCATCATCATCATCATCATCATCATCATCATCATCATCATCATCATCATCATCATCATCATCATAATCGTAATCATAATCATCATCATCATCATCATCATCATCATCATCATCATCATCATCAGCATCGCCATCATCATCATCATCATCAGCATCATCATCATCATCATCATCAGCATCAGCATCATCATCATCATAATCATCATCATCAGCAGCAGCATCATCATCATAATCATCATCATCATCATCATCATCATCATCAGCATCAGCATCAGCATCAGCATCATCATCATCATCAGCATCATCATCATCATCATCATCATCATCATCATCATCATCATCATCATCATCATCACCATCATCACCATCATCTTCCTCCTCCTCCTCTTCCTCCTCCTCCTCTTCCTCCTCCTCCTCCTCCTCCTCCTGCTCCTCCTCCTCCCCCCCCCCTTATTGATCGCCCCCGCATTGGGAACGCCCCTCTCAGCCGCGCCCCGCCGAGATCTCGGGCTGGCCCACGCCGCCAAACGGGTACGACTGCGGGTGCCCGGAGGGGCTAGCGCTGGTCTGCTGGGTCGGGTACGCCTGCCGCGGTACCCGCGATTCAGGGGGGCGCGCCGGAAACACTCCGGCAAGGAAGGGGGGAGGGGGAGGGGGGGAGGGGGAGAGGGGGGAGGGGGGAGGGGAAGGTGGAGGAGGGGTAGAGGGGAGGGCACACTTAGATGCGCTCGCACCGTATCTGATGCCTGGCTCATCCTTTCCCATCGCGCTTGGGAGAGGGGGAAGGTATGGGATGAGGGGAACGACAACAAAAAAGGAGGAAAACGTGTGAAGGATGATGATGATGATGATGATGATGATGATGATGATGATGCTGATGATGATGATGATGATGATGGTGATGATGATGATGATGATGATGATGATGATGATGATGATGATGAGAGTGATGATGATGATGATGGTGATGATGATGAGGGCGATGATGATGCTGATTATGATTATGATGATGGGAATGATGATTAAGATGCGGATTGTGATGATGCTGAAGGTGAGAATGGTAATGATGATGGCGGTATGATGATGGTAATGATTACGACGATGATACTGATGATAATGGAAAGAATCGTAATGCCGATGATGGCGATGGTAATGACATTGTGATGGTGGTGGTGATGGTGATGATGATGCTGATGCTGATGATGGTGGTTGTGATGGTGGTGATGGTGCTGATGATGATGATGATTGCGTCCAAGACGGCGTGGAACTCAAGTTCGAAAGCCGCCCGAAGAGGAACGTTTACCTCGACGCCTCGCCCTCATCGCCAGGCGATGCTTTTTCGGCAGTTACGAGGACGTACTAAGCTCCAGACTGACGCCGTTGTTGCACCAGCGGCGGCCAATCGCTGCCGCGCGAAAAGAGGCGACACGATCGAATATGGCAACGGCGAGCTCGTCGCAAGGATTCGTGATCCTCGGACCCGAATGGAAACCGTTCTCTGTGGATCGCTGATAACCCGGGTTATCGGGGCGGGGGGGGAGGGGCTGATCATCTAATCTTCCCGCTGCGGGCAATCCCGCATATGCCTGCGCGCACCATCGCCGCGGCCACTACAGCTGCTAACGATGCCGATGCGGGCGCAGCCTGGAAATGCCAAAGGACATGTCTGGACCTGCTCAAACGACAAGATGAGATTATCCCGATGGGGGGACATCCCGATAAATAACCCGCGTAACATCTGGACCGTGAAACAAAAATCTCCTGGCGCCACGAACATCGGCACCCGCTCGGCGGATCAATGGGTCCCGAACCGCACCGGGCAACATCACCAATCAAGCTTTGCGTCGGTTTGCGTGAAGCAGACCTGTGAAACGCAGAGCAGACGTGTGCGAAACCTGATGGGCATATACTCGCCAGGGGCATACGCCAACAGGGGCATATCTGTGCAGGCCTGTGCATACACGTGCCAGGGGCGTACACCACCAACAACGAGCAGGCACAACAACCCGCGCGGCAAGGTGGCGCCACGAGTCGCACGAGGACTCGCCATTTCAGCCACGTGCCCGCGAAACCGCACCTCGTCCGCTGCTGGGGAAGCCGATCTCGAGTGTCGGCTGAGATTGCATCCGCGGGACTCACTCATTGGGAAGGGCGCGATGCGCTCCGTAGAGGTCCAGGAAGAGCGATGACGAGGACAATGATGGTCATGAAAATGCGATGGTGGTGATGATCATGGAGATGGTGAAGATTATGGTGATGATGGTGGGGATGACGGTGGTGGTGGTGGTGGAAGTGATGTTGATGGCGAATATGATGATGGTGATGGTGATGGTGATAATGATGGTGATGATCATGAGGGCGGTGCTGACGATGGTGATCATGGTGACGATGAGAATGAAGACGCCGATGTTGGCGCTGATCTTGGAGTTGGCACTGATGCTGATGGTGGTGGTGATGATGATGGTGATGATGGTGAAGGTGATGCTGATGATGATGTTCATGATGGCGATGGTGGTAAAAAGTGACGGGGATGGTGATGTGATGATGATGGCGCGGACGAGGTTGAGGATAGTGCTGATGATGTTGTCTGTCCTCCCTCATCTCTGGCGTGATAAAGTGTTTCGAATCTCGCTTCGAATCAGTTCGTTTACCTGTGGATGCATGCGTAACCTCATGTCTTGAATCCTAGATTTCACATGTGCGAGCTGGCTCATGAAAAGACCAAGTTGTCTCGATACCGTCATTTGCCGGGCTACAGCGCTAGTGACACAAGCATTCGAACGCCTAGCAAGATAGGCCTGCACGCGACGATACTCAGAAACTGAAGCACCTCGTACGGCTAACTCCTCAACGTGCCTCGCCACGTAGTGTCTGACCACACTGCGTACCACGGCCTGCGTACCAGCAGTCGCCTCGACAACTCTTGCACCCGCCGCGACTTCAGATAGAGCGGGGAACGTCGGCACAGACGGAAAGGACGAAGCTGAAGGCCCAGCTTCAAAGACAGAGTCACCCTCAGGAGGCAAGAGCCCAGGACGTCGAAGAAGCGCCTGCACGTCGGAGAGTGGCAGCCACGTAGCAACGGCTCCCACGGGCCAGGTCCAGAGAGGGGGACCATGGTCAAGTAGAGCACCTCGACTATTCCCACCAGCGTGTATAGCGACAGCATCACGATCATGAGGTCGACCATCAGGAGGACCCGCACGACTCTGCTCAAAACGTAGATTTGCATTCCCACGATCAGCACGACCAGGCCCAGGAAGGAGAACTGCACAACCAGTGTCACGACGGGGAGCGTCACCACCAGGCTCAGGTAGAGGAACTGCACGGGCAGGTTCATCAAGAACGACGACACGACCTTCAGGAAGACTGGAGAGGAGGTCCACACGTGGGACGCGACGAAAATCATCACCATGCTCACGGGAGAAGTCCATACCACTCGCAGGGAGAAAACGCCACATATGCTCAGGAATTGGATCTGCATGACCAGGCTCAGGAAGGAGATCACCATGACCAACCTCATCTGGATGAACCGCACTACCATGTCAGCAAGTAGATCTGCACGCCCAGGGAGATCTGCACATACGCCACCACTAGCACAACGTCGAGGAGCTTTGGGACTACGATGCTGCCCACCAGACCAGGGATCAGAGCCACCATGTGCATGCCACGGGTCGCGGCCCTGAACATCTTCACGAACCCCTGAACGCCCACAACGGTGAGGACCACGCCTACGAGGACCACCATCGCCACATGGACCGAATTGAGAATCATCTTCATCATCACCGACGGGATGCTGGTCATCAGGAGTAGGCCGCAACCAGAAATGCACTTCGCTACTACTCGTACTCGTGTGTCGATGCCCGCGATCGACTGACACCCAGCACAAGGAGGGGCGTGAGCGAATCCAAGGCTGCTAAAATCAATATCCGACCAGCAGGTGAAAGAAGAGGCTCATCGTGACGAATTACCACTTTGAGCTTGCCGATGTCCTTGGCTGACGAAGCAGAAATTGACAGATGAGCCGGAACTCCCTGTGCCACAGGATAGTGATGATGATGATGGTGATGGTGATGATGATGATAGTGGTGGTGATGCAAGGCTCAATTGGGGGGGTCCGCTTCGGCGCGCTTGCGCTCGGCGACGGCGCGCGCTGCGCAGGCAAATCCACCGCGAAGGCAGTCGCACTCATACTGTCATAGGAAAAAAGATGTCGCGCGCAAGAACGGTGCCGCGAAGGACCCTCGCGCTAAAGATGCGGGGCCCCTGCAACATGCGATCAACGGCATTCCTCTCGGCAATATCAGGCGGCGGCGACGGGGTGATATTGAGGAGCGGCGGCAGCACTGGGCACTGGGAGCAATGAACAACATGGTCGGAATCCGGGGCCCCGCAGCCCATGATACAACATCTGTTGCCAGAACGAAGTCGCGCGCCAGTCGGCAAGGCGCTGCAAAGGGATTTCAGCAGAAAGGGGGCAATCAATGGGGCCTGTTTGGCAGCGGAGACCGAGTAGATGGAGTCGGAGGATCGCGCCATCGCCGATACATCGGCGATGCCATGGCGACGTCGACGACGCATCGGCGCCACCGGCGTGGAGAACATCGGGTTCCTCATCGGGTCGCGTCGCCGATGTATCGGTGGTGCGCCGGGATCCTCCGACCCCTTCTTGGGGCGATAATGATGTCATGGTAAGATTGGCTCAGGACACGTTCCAGGAAGAGCATCTACCGGCGCAACCGGTGCGGAACATTGGGAGATACAGGGAATCTTGGAAGCCTGAAATCCTGGAACGTATCAATATCATGACCTCTTGCTCCTCTGACATCTACTCTGACCCTATCCAGGAGCCCCAGATAGCTGGCGTCCCCCGAACTCCAGGTCGCTGGGCACTTCCGAGGTCCGCGGGCGCCGAGTGCAAGACAGCCAGACGCTGATCAGCAAGCGGCGGGAACACCGGGAGCGAATGGAGGCACGAAGGCGAAATAGTGAAGCGAACTCTATAAACCGACACTTTGCCCGACCCTGCGCTGAAGTTCGCACAGGAACGCGGATTCTGGTGTATACGGGATCCTGGTGTATACATTTTGCATTGTTTCCCTGGGAGAACGGATACACAAGTATAGACCACACCACCCCGACGTCGTCCCTGATCCTTCAAAGAATCCTGGGGTTGAAAAACAGCCCGCCGCTGGTAATGTATAGGTTCCAGTTTCCGAGAAAAAGGAACAGAGCGCGAGGGGGGACGGGGGAGGAGCCCGCTCAGACCGTCAGAGCCGGCGCGGTGGTGCCGTAGAGACTCTGGCGTGCAGGCCGCGCTCGAGAAGTTAGGTCGGGCATGTTCCCCTACAGGCGGATGGCGGACGAAACATCAACAAAAACAAGTCACCAAAAAATACTCACAAATATAGAGAAAGAGTCAAGCATTAGTCCCCAGGCTATGTCTTACTATTCTTGAATATTCCTCCTGTAGGGGGACAGGCCCGACTTAAGGACGGGGCCAAGTCACCGAGCACGCGCACGCGCGCTCCGGGCCCGGCGCGCGGCGGCACTGCCGGAGAGGGCTGAAAGGCGGCTCTCCCCGGCAGCGCCTGTCCGCCCAGCTCGGCCGGCGGGGTGGCGTAGAACTTGAACGGCCCGTCCATCGCCGAGGAGCCGTACCTGGACCGACGCCCCTCCCCCCCAGAAGGACCCGACGAGGATGAAGAGGGAGGAGGGAGGAGCAGGAGGGGGGAGGAGGGTGCTTCAGAACATGAGGCATCTAGCATAACACAAACGATTACTTCACCACTCAGGGGAAAGATAACCAAAGACAGACGACTCAGGCAACGCCCCTCTCCTGCCCCTCAACCTCCCCTCAGGATGCTGACCCTCGCGCCCATCCAGCGGCGGTGCGCTCTGGAGCCGAAGCTGCCCGTCCCTCATGGCTGCCAACAGTGTCACTGCCACTACAGAGTAGCCGCCGAAGCACGGCCACGTCGGCAGCTCGCCCGAGGCTGCGAGCATCCAGGCCCCCCAGCCGACCTGCGCACGGGCCTTGCTGCCTCGCGATGCACAGGGCTTCGCTCCCTCGCGGGACCGGTTGCTCGTGTCGCGTGCGGGACGCGTCTGTGTGTTGACATACTGAGCAGCTGCTCGTCGTGATCACCAAAGGCCTGGGCATCCCTTGCTTCGTCTCGGATGTCGTCGTGTGTATGTATTCGTCGTTGGAGCTTGCGCGAAAGACGTGTTTTCGAGTGCGTCATGGAGAAAGTTGCGCCTGTGGGCCTGAGTCGGAGCTATCGCAACTACAACTACCAATGTCACCACCTCTACCACTACCACATCCAGAAACACCACTTCGATTCGCCACGTTCCTCTCACTTTCAATCCTCATCCTCCTCCTCCTCCTCCTCCTCCACGTTCCCCTCCTCTTCCTCCTCCTCCTTTTCCTTCTCGTCCTCCTCATCCGCCGCCGCCTCATCCCACTTCATCCTCCTTCTCTGGAGAAGAGGAGGGAAGAAGGAAAGAACAGAAAACGGAGGAAGGTGGAGGGAAGGAAGGGGGAGAAGGAGGATGAGGCAGAGGAGAAGGACGATAGGCAGAGGAAGGGGAGGATGAGGCAGAGGAGGATGCTGCGGAGGAGGTGACCGGCGGGCGGGGGGGAGATGGACGACATCCACTCACCCAGCTGAACTGTGCGGCGCCGCGGCGGCATAGGTGCGGCCGCCGCTGCCGACATGTTCAAGTTCCCGGTGATTCAAAGATGGAGCCCTGAAGGCCGCTGCCCCATGGCCTCCACGGGTTGGATCCCCTCGGCTCGACCCCCGACCACGCTCCTCCAGGACCGCCGCAGGTTTTGTCTAACCTCGCCACTGACTGGGAAGGAAACTGTAATACTCCAGGGGAAGGCGTTCCTGGAGAAGGACCGATCAGTTGTACGCGCAGCGACTAGCAGCGAGAACAAATGGTGGACGGGCACTTTGATCCAGACTCAAGCCGTCGCTGGTGCAACAATGTTTCAGGTTCGGATAGCGCTCCCCTGTTGCCAACCGCTTATTTGACCCAGTTCCTCCAAGCAGACTGACGCGATGAGACTTGGGCGCGCTCGACCCTGTCGGCCTTGCCGCCCGAGTCGAAAGTTCAGTGGCACAGCTCCTGAACAGAAACTTCTTGGGGCACAGCCTCCGCCTCCTCCTCCTCCTCCTCCTCCTCCTCCTCCTCCTCCTCCTCCTCCTCCTCCTCCTCCTCCTCCTCCTCCTCCTCCTCATCCTCCAATGATTTTCCTCGCACGCACCCTCCCAAGTTCGTAGGAGGTAGTCGTTGACGTATTCTGGGAAGGCCAACGCGCCCGTCGACCGTGAAACCGAACTCGAAAGTACCCTCACGCTGATCAGGCACGAGGGCAGGGAAAGGAGGAGGACGTAGACGAACGTCGTCGTGAATATGGATCGTCGCCGTCGGCGGTATGGAGGATGGATTGGGGGCTGGGAAGCTGGCCGCCACGGGCAGAACATACACTCTGAGAGGCTCCCCACTGACCGGCTTAAGCCATATCAGCCATGGAAAACATACACAACGCTTCGCTGAATAGCCGTCCCTACCTGACCGTCGGGAGGACCCCATACTCTAAAAGAAAGCGGCGGTCCCAGCTGAAATCTTCACGGCGCCACACAACAAATATCTGGGGCTCACGTTCTGCGCGCGGCAACCGACCTCGATGAGGCAAGCTGCCAACAAAAGACAGACAGAGCACGGATCATGAAATTCTGACGCGAGCTCTCAAACAGAGCTCAAAGCTTCACACTAACTGCGATGATGAGAGCACAAACAGAGGGCAATCGACTCGTCACCTGTCATATCCAGGATAGCCGTAGCCCACAAACTGAGAATCCGCCCTTCGTCAAGGCGTCACTAATCATGGCACGAGTATCCACCCACCAAAGCTTACAAAGAGTCCCGGGTTCCAATCTATCTCGCAGAGCACGCAATAAATACAGTAGGTGGGGCTCGGCTGGGGCCGTGAGCTCCGTGGCGCCAAGAGCAGACAACACGCCTTTGTTTTCCGCGCATACATGGAGATCCACCGGCAATCGACCAGTGTCCATACATCGTTGAATCTGCTTCGCAATAAGGAGGCCCATGCACAATCTCACGGATCACCAACTGAATCAATGAAGCGTTGCTGATACTAACATCCACACTTGCCAACTCGGCTGGAAACGTCGATCGGCAAACTTTGGGCTGCTTTCGCAAATAAAACTCAACCGTCGCGCACAGCCCTCCCGTCGGCATGAAACCAGCTCCTGCTATCGCAATCAATGCTGCTCGGACCGCCAAGCAATCCGGTTCAGTTGCTCACGCGCGATCAGGAAATCCCACAATACTCCGGGGAAGCGTACAGCATAGTAAACCAAAGAACTGTCCTTGCGCTTGATCCATCGTACTACAGAATTCAAGTGATGTACATGTTTTCAGCGAGGTTCATGAGCACGCCGTTGTAAATACCCCACATAAACTGCAACGCCAGATCTGGAAACGAACATCCAGGCAGCTCCACCAAGAAGACCAAAACGACGTCCTGTCCTGTTGATCCAGAGGTTAATCGTCTGCTTTCGTCTTTTCTACCTGCACGGGGTCTCAAATGCGCCACGCAGCGATCTTGAGAACACCACGCGGACCCATCATCACGTTGATCGTGAATAACTCCACAATGCTCGAACTTTCGCTTCTGACGAGTGAGCTCCCCGAACTCTGCCTCTGGCGCGTCCATGAAGGCGTCCGCTAGTTTCTCCGTGGACGCGCCGCTAAATCGAGCTTCTGGACATGTTCATCATCGATCGCTGCAGGTACCAATTCTCGAAAAATCGGGTCACATCTAGCACCTGCCCATTCGCAGTAAAACTGTGAATCCATGACCAGAGGTAGTTACTGCAGCATGGTCATAACTGGCTTCAGCCGGACGTTCCCAAACCGAGGCGCATCCTTCAGACCGAAACCAGAACGTCTCATTTCTAAGCAATGTTGGCTCGCAACATATTCTGACAACTGATCAAACTGCCTGGCAATCCTCACGGTATCCTCGGGTAAATCCAGCTGCACGGCGCTCAAGGGCTACCCGGTCGTATCCGCGACATCCTGAAGCGACGGCCCTCGCAGGAGAGCGCTGCCGACGTCGCAAGACCACAACATCCACTTCGGAAGGCTGGCAGCGATGAAGTTTCACGATGCGCTGGCTTTGTCTCGAGGCCGTGGCGCTGAATGTGTCCCGGCGGTCTTGCTGCCTGTCCTTGAAGCCCTTGAAGCGTAGACGAGCCTCGACGGCGAGCTTGCCATCCGTCTGCTTCTTCCATCGGATGACCCATCGGGAATCCATCAAATAAGCGCATCCTCGTCGGCTGCGCTGCTTGAACGCCCCTAGCTCCATCTAGTTGCCGAGCTCCTTCAACGTGGCTTCCTCCACTTCTACCCGATGCTTGATCAAATCTTCTTTCGAGAGCTCGCCCGCTGCACGCTCGATAGCCATCTTGGTTTTGACCGACGAGCTTGCTGCTAGCACCACGTAGGAGGTCTGATCTGCACCGAAAAGAGCTGATATCCGGTCCGCCCTCAGCGCGAGGTCGTACTCCTCATTGTTTGGAATGACAAGCTTCGACATCTCCGTACTGAATTCCACCTCCAGGAACTGACCAATAGCCCCCTTCGTGCTCGATACCTCCTCCACGCGCATCGCGTCAATCACTCGGGGGCCCATCCGGCACTCAGCATCAGGAGCACAGGCGCTGTCCACGATCGCGCGGTCGAGCCCGAACTCATTCTCCAGCTGGCCACACCATCTTGGGCCCCATGGTTCTAACCACAAGTCTTGAACGTCCGTGTTCGCGTCGGGTTCAATCCTGTGAAACTGCTGGAAAGGTCTCCACGTGGGCCGCAACAGCTCGGGATCAGCATCGGGGTCTCGAGGATGACTTATCCCTCGGGCTTCGGGCCCCGATGCATCGGACTCGTATCAATCGCGGCCTCAGGAGTCGGCCAACGATGTCCCGGGCGATCCTCAACTTCGGCCCCTTCTCGTGGTCGTACCTTTCCTCGAGAAGGTGCGTCCTTTTCTTTGTCTGGCATGGGGGGGTCCGGCATGTCGCGCGGCCCCCCCGCGCGGGGAATATGACCGTCAAACTGCCGCAACACCGACGCCGCGGCAGCTTCCACCGTCAGAAATTGCACCCAGCACATCCCGCGGTAGTCTGGGCCAAGTAGGCGTTGAGCATCCGCTTTGTCACGAGGATCGCAGCTGGCACGATGGTAGCCGACCGTTTCTCCCAGCAGCCACCAGACTAGAAGAGAGGCGCGATGGCCGCGGGCTGGAGGCATCTCACGCGCGCCCAATCCCAATCTGACAGCGACGACTCCATAAAAATGAAAGTCACATGCTCCAGCACGAAAGGCCGCCGTCATCAATGAGGGGAGGCGCCTGCTCGCACGCGTCAACCTCCAGCGCCCATCCTGTCCAATCTCGTAGCCCGGGAGCATCGTCGTCGCCCTCGCCATGCGTTCGACACTACACGCCGCTAGCTGGGAGGAGGAGGAGGGAAATGCGAGACGGGGCTTCGCCCATGAAGCCACCACCTGGAGGGCCGAGGTTCGGGGCCTCGGCCCCCGCTCGTCAGGCGGCCGCGCGGGCC